CTTGGGAGGCTGAGGCAGAAGGATTGCGTGAGCCCAGGAGTTTGAGGCTGCAGTGAGCTATGATCATGCCACTGCACTCGACCCGAGGTGACAGAACAAGACCCTGTCTCAAAAAAAAAAAAAAAAATACACACACACACACAAATCTAAGGAAAATTAATATATTTGTATTTCATTCTTAAATAACCACACTTACTAGTGGGCTTTGTGTACTCATTGGGCACTGTACAATTTCTCATACCTTGGAATCAGATTGACACCATTACTCTCATTTCCTGTTCTATGTTGATTTTTCCATAATATTTGCTTTTTATCACAGCAAACTCTGAAAACCTAATTTTGCAAAAATATGACATCATCAAAAGGTGTTGAAACCGAATTGCCTCAAGCTAGTAGTTTCTGCAGTGTTTGACATGTCAAATTTCATTGTGTTCCTTCAAGTTTAAAATATCCCATGGTACCCTGGTCAGTTTACTGTTGTGTCCTGGGGTGTTTGGAAACCTAGGATAAAGTAAGCCCTCACTTACCACCTTATAGCTATTCTAGTAATTGTTATTGTGTCATAGTGATTAATAATGTTAATTAAATTTTCTGATTGTAGACTTGACAATTATTTGGTGATTTTTATTTATGTTTCTGGTATGCTTTATTGAAGAGTTTACATTGATGGATAATGTGTTTGAATAGCTCATTCTCTTGTTTATTGATTAAAATCACTGAGTTTGAAATATTGAGTGTTTTATATTTGGCAAATTTTCTGTTTTAGTACCTCACCAGTAACAGATGTGGCAAATATGTGGACATCGGAGTCTTAGCATCTGATTTACAAAGAATGTACAGGTAAAGAAATGTAATTTCCAGATCCTTGTCTTTTATTCCCCTACTGTTTTTTAATTTTTTTAAAATTATTATGGGTACATAATAGTTGTATATCTTTATAGGGTACGTGTGGTGTTCTGATACACGATGTGGATTAATCAAATCAGGGTATTGTGGTGTCCATCACTTCAGGCATTTATCATTTCTTTGTGTTAGGAACATTGCAATTTTACTTTTTTAGTTATTTTAAAGTATACCCTAACTTATTGTTGATTATAGTCACTTTGTTGTGCTTTCAAATATTTTTCCTTCCTACCATTTTATAAGTTTCCATCCTGATTAATTTTCCAATTGATAGCAATAGTTGCTGGCATTAGTTCACTAATCCGTAAGCCTGGAACTCAATTCATTTATATAAACATTGTAAAATACCTATTATATGCAATGAGCTGTCTTTACTATGGGGAACAGCTACTTCTTATCTTAGAGTACCTTATGGTCTGCTCAGGAAATAAAGATGTTACTAAATTACTTTATTTCCTGCTTCATTAGAAAATTAAAACTATCAGGCATGGTATCTTCCTCAGTTTCCTGACTCTTTCTAGAAATGTATCACTCATTCAGTCTTCTCACTGAAGAGTACATTCTTCTTTTCGGCCTCTAATCACACCTCTTCTGATACCTTGTGTCATTAATTATCCCAGCTTTGTACGTGTCAGTGTCTCTATTTTCTTTTCCTCCTTATACTGTGTATTAGTTTGCTAGGGCTGCCATAACAAGGTATACTGACTGGGTGGCTTAAATAACAAATTTATTTCCTTACAGTTTTGGAGGCTAGAAGTCTAAGATCAAGGCATCAGCAGGTTTTCTCCATGGCTTATAGGTGGCTGCCTTCTCTTTGTCTTCATGTAGTATTTTCTCTGTGTATACATGTCTGTGTCCTAATCTCCTCTTCTTATATGCACACAAGTCACATTGGAGTACAGCACACCCATGTAACCTCATTTTGCCTTAATTATTTCTAAAGGCTCTCTCTCCAAATACAGTCACATTCTGAGGTACTAGGGGTCAGACAGTTCATATTCTTCACCATATGAATTTGCGTGAGACACACTTCAGCCCATTGTGCTCTGTTCTTTGGCTCCCCAAATTTCATGTCCTTCTCACACTGAGATAAACTTTTTCCATTCCAGCAGCCCCAAAAGTCTTAACTCATTTTACCATCAACTCTAAGTCCAAACTCCTATTTAAATATCATCCTAAGTCAGGTATGGGTGAGACTCAAGATATGATTTATCCTGGGGCAAAATTCCTCTCCATTTATGAATCCGTGAAACCAGACAGCAAGTTACCTGCTTCCAAGGTATAGTCATGCACCATATAATGTTTTGGTCAATGATGGATTGATCACATATACAGTGGTGGTCCTATAAGATTATAATACCATATTTTTACTGTACTTTTCTATGCTTAGATATGTTTAAATGCACAAATACCATTGTGTTACAGTTGCCTGCAGTATTCTGTACAGTAATATGCTGTATAGGTTTGTAGGAACAATAGGCTATCCCATATTGTCTGGGTGTATAGTAGGCTATACCATCTAGGTTTGTGTACGTACACACTATGATGTTCACATGATGAAAATACCTAATGATGCATTTCTCAGAATGTGTCCCCACCGTTAAGTGATGCACAAAAGGTATAGCATAGACATTCTCATTCCCAAAGGGAGCAGCTGGAAAGAAGAAAGGGGTCGTGGGTACCAAGCAAGTCCAAAACCCAGCAGGGCAAATTTCATTAGATTTTAAGGCTTGAGAATAATCCTCTTTGGCTCAGTGTTCCATCCTGTGGGCTTACAAGGGTGGTGATCCTGCCCTCTGGAACCAGGAGGAGATGGCCCCGCCCGCCGGGCCTGTGCCTTCTGGGCACATTGTGGCTGTGGCCCGCTCTGCTGACTTCTGAGCCTCCTTCAGTTACTCTTCCCTTTCCTTGAGGAATAACTCATGTTCACAGCTTGATAGTTTTATTGGCCCTGTTCTATAGAATCCCAGAAGTCCAGCAGCCTTCCTTTTGTCCCATCTCTGTCCCTTCAGTCCAAGCTGGCAGTTTCTGTTGCTGTATAACCCAGTCTCTATTCCTGGCTTCTGCTGAGATGGCTGATTGGATCCAGAAGTCATATGCCTGTAAGCTCTTTAGTAAATTGTGGTGAAGCCACACCCCTGATGTTCTCTCCAGAATATGCTTTCATTTTTCACAATGTGGATAGGCTGAGGATTTTCCAAATCTTTAAGTTCCAGTTCCCTTTTTGTTTAACAGTTTCTTCTTTAATTTATCTGTCTCCTCTCACATTTCATTATAAGCAACAAGGAGGAACCATGCCATATTTCAACACTTTGCTTAGAAATCTCAGCTAAAAAACAAAAACAAACAAACAGGCCGGGTGTGCTGGCTCACACCTGTAATCCTAGCACTCTGGAAGGCCAAGGCGGGAGGATCGCTCAAGGTCAGAAGTTCAAGACCAGCCTGAGCAAGAGGGAGACCCTGTCTCCACTGAAAATAGAAAGAAATTAGCTGGACAACTAAAAACATATAGAAAAAATTAGCCGGGTGTGGTGGTGCATGCTTGTAGTCCCAGCTCCTCGGGAGGCTGAGGCAGGAAGATCGCTTGAGCCCAGGAGTTTGAGGTTGCTGTGAGCTAGGCTGAAGCCATGGCACTCTAGCCCGGGCAACAGAGCGAGACTCTGTCTCAAAAAAAAAAAAAAAAAACTCCACAAACAAAAAACCAAAGAAGAAACATAACCCCAAAAAAAGAAAAGAAAAAAGAAGAAATCTCAGCTAAATATCCAAATTGATCACAAGTTTTACTTGCCACAAAACAGTAAAACAATTCAGCTAGATCCTCTGCCACTCATAACAAGGACCATGTTTCTTCCAATTTCCAATGACATGCTTCTCACTTCTGTCTAAGACCTTACTAGAAGCATCTTTTTTTTTCTTTTTGAGAAAGACTCTCACTCTGTTGCCTGAGTGAGTGCCATGGCATCAGCGTAGCTCACAGCAACCTCAAACTGCTGGGCTCAGGCAATCCTCCTGCCTCAGCCTCCCAAGTAGCTGGGACTACAGGTGTGTGCCACTGCTCCCGGCTAATTTTTTCTATTTTTAGTAGAGACAGAGTCTCGCTCTTGCTCAGGCTGGTCTCAAACTCCTGACCTCAAGCGATCCTCCTGGCCCTACCTCCTAGAGTGCTAGGAGTACAGGCGTGAGCCACCGAGCTTGGCCCAGAAGCATTTATATTTAACATTCATATTTCTACCAACGTTCTATTAGTGATTATATATGTATATCTCTAAGACTATAGAAGCTTCCTCTGTAGCTCTCCTCTTTTCTTTCTGAGCCCTCACCAGAATGTCCTTCAATATCCATATTTCTAACAACAGTCTCTTCAAAGCGATCTAACATGCACCTCAAAACTCTTCTAGCTTCTGTCAGTTACCCAGTCTGAAAGCCGTTTCTACATTTTTAGATATTTGTTACAGTAGCATTACACTTCCCAGCACCAGTATCTGTATTAGGAAGGAAGAAAAAAGACAAAAGCCTTTTTTAAAAAGTGTGGGCCCCACTGTGGCTACCATTCAATATTTCTTCTCCCTCTCATCAAAATTTACTTAAAGAGTAGTCTAAGTTTGCTACTATCTTTGCCACTCACTCCACTGAAATGTGTGAGTTGCCTTTTTTTGTTAATTTTTTTTTTATCCCTGGTCGATGGTACAACCACCTACCCACTCATTCAGGTTAAACATCTACATGTTGTCTACCTCCTTCTACCTAGCCTTCCATCCCCCTGTATGTCTACATTAAGTCACCATGCCTTTCTGCTGTCCCTTAAATATTTCATGATTTCTCTTCTCTCTTTTCCCTACCCATTGCCAGCCTACTCTAGATCCTCATTATTTCTCGTTTAGGTTCCTGTTTCCGCTTCTAAAGATTCTCCCTACATCTACTCTGCCGTCCTCTCTCATCCAGGTTTTGGCAAACTATGGCCCTCAGACTAAAATCCAGCCTGCCACCTTTTTTGTATGGCTGTGAGCTAAGAATGATTTTCACATTTTTAAATGGTAGAAAAAATGTTTAAGAATATTTTATGACACATATATATTACATGAATTTCAAAATTCGTTCATAAAACTTCTTTGGAATATAGTCACACTCATTAGCTTATGTATTTTCTATGTCTACTTTCATGCTATTATACAAAGATAGAGTTGACTAGTGACATCAGGGACAATACAGCCTATAAAGCCTAAGTATTTATTAATACTATCTGGCCCTTTTACGGAAAAGGTGTGTGGACCCTTGCTTTAATTAGTTGGTTCTCAAATCCAACAATGCTCAGGCCTGATGAGACAGTAGAAGACATAATGTCAGTGAGAAGATTGACTCAACTTATGGGATAAGTGTGAATATGAGAGCTACAGGTACAGACTACTATAGGTATGTTCTGTTGGCATCTCAGATACCACAACACAATATTATCAGTGATTTCAATGAGAAACAAAAAAGACAGTGAAATCTCTCATTTTATGAAATAATTGTAGTCCTAAAAAATTCAGTGTTTTAAAACCATGCAAAACGTGTTTACATATGCCTACAGCAGATGGGTTCTAGCTTAGGTAACAAAGAACAGGTCTTTCACCTACATGAATGTCTGGTAGGCATTTGAAAGTCATGAGGAAGGGACAGTTTTTCTTTAGGTGAAATTGTTCTGCACATAGAATATCCAGCAACTATAGTTCTCACCTAGTGAATCTCCATAATGCTCCCCAGTCATTGTGATGACATAAAAAGGCCCCTCAAATTTTCAAAATGCCCCCTAGGGGTGTTACTGTCTTCATTGAAAACCACTCTTCTAACTCATCTTTGCCAAAGCCAACTAAGTGATCTCTTCAAAGTGCATATTTGACGTTATTATCTCTCTGTTTTATAACCTTTAATGCCCACACTTGCCTTTTATATACCAGTGATTTTTCAGCTGCTTTCCAATATGAATACCTCTGCAGTGTGGCTTAAAGGCCTCATGATCTGGTTCCTCCTTATTGCCTTGCCTTGTACTACTTGTGCCAGTAACACTTAATAGCACTTAGTAATCACACACACACACACACACACACACACACACACACACACCTTGTTGTTTCTTTTTTTACTTAGCTCATGTTGTCACCTCTTCCTTGGAATCCCCTTCCCCTTTCTCCTCTCTACCAAAAACACACAAAAGTCTCTTTATAAACATACAGTTACATCCATATTCTTTTGTCTGTGCTGTATACACACACACACACACACACACACACACACACACACGCTCACACACATATATATACATCAAATGCATGTACATACACCCCATAGCTCCCATGGCTTCTCTCTTTTATTGCACTTAACTATAATTTGTGTTTGTGTCTGTCTCCCACACTAGGCAGAGTTCCGGCAGTGCCTAATAGTATCTCTTACTCATTTTCGGGTTCCTAGCTCATGGACAATTCTCATTCAGTGTAGTTGATTGAACAGAAAGAATTGAGTGAATGAGTGACTGAATGAATAAAAGACTATTAGTTCCCAGACAGCACAGTTATTAACATCTCTACTATAAAAGTGAAATGCTGTAAGAGAAGACAAGATTAATTCTGTTTTGGGAATGGTGAGAGGGACTGATGGAAAGGTTAGTTGAGGAAGCAGTTCTTGTGCTACCTGGAAGACTTGATAGCACAGTGGTTTTGGAGAGAGCATTTGAAGCAGTCATTTGTAACATGGTCTTGTGCCCTCACTTTGTCATCAGGTTTTCCTAAAGTATTAATATTTTTATTTTCTTTCCTTTTTATTCTTTCTCTTTCTTTCACTAGATAATTTACATTGTTCTGAAATTAGACACACCCACTCTGAATAATTTGCAAATTAAAATTTGCTGAACCAGCAGGGGACACGCCCACAAGCTTGATTGTGGGTTTTTTAAAAGTTACATCTCAAAGGGATTAGAGCCAGTAATACTAATTTCAATATGGAGAGGGTTTTTTTCTTTTGTCTTTGTTATTCAGATCACACCAAGATTTGAGTCTGATAGACAGGTTTATAAATGGGTACCAGAAATACATCCTTGGATCTTCATTTAAAGGCAAGATAGGCGGGGCATGGTGGCTCACACCTGTAATCCCAGCACTTTGGGAGGCCAAAGCAAGAGGATCGCCAGAGGAGTTCCAGACCGGCCTGGGCAACATAGAGAAACCCCTGTCTCTACAAAAAAATTAAAAATTAGCTGTGGTGACATGTGCCTGTAGTCCCAGCTACTTGGGAGGCTGAGACAGGAGAATTACTTGAGCCCAGGAGTTTGAGGCTGCCATGAGCTATGATCAGGCCACTGCACTCCAGCCTGGGAAACAGAGCACAGACTCTGTCTCTTTGAAAAAAAAAAAAAAGTTGTTTGAAAATAGGTTTATGGCCAGTGTGAATACAGTGACATAATTAAATATTCATGCAAATTTATTTGATCCTTTTAGATTGAGCTTAATGGAGAAATATTGGTGGAGACCACAGTAGTAAGCTTATTCTTTTTTTTTTTCTTTTCCCAAAACTCTAGTAGTGTTATGTATTGAACTTCTTGTTACATTTTTCAGTATAGACTATGGTCGAAGAAAAAGAAATGCTTTTCGGATTCAAGTAGAAAAAGGTGAGTCTTTCAGTATTAGTGCTAAATTATCAATAAAGCTACAGAAAGAATTATTTTAGCTCATGGCATTTTTCTTTTTATTTCAGTATTTAGCATCATAAGTAGTGAGAAAGAATTTAAGAATCTAACAGAATTAGAAGATGAATATTTGGCTAAAAGAGCAAGACAAGGTGAAGAGGATAATGAGTAAGCATTACAAAATGGAGCTTTTTCCTAACACATGAACCTAATCATGTTACATTCCTACTTGTAAAACTTTCAGTGGCTCTTCATTCTCAAGGTGACCCTGCATAATACTTACCTGACTTTTTGCAGACCTTTACTTTAGCCATACTAAATGCTCATTATTCCCCCAAAGAGGTCAGATTCTTTCTTTGGATGTGCCTTTGTATGGGTGGTTTTCTGTAGCTGGAGTATTCATTTCCCGTTCACAAACTCTCACTCAGCCTTCAAGAGTCAGGTTGAAATGTTACTGCCTTTGTTGTGCCTTCCTAGACTCCGTTTTCAGTGTTTCTTTAGCTTCTAGTTACAGATATTTATTATAATCCTTATCATATCATATGGCATGGAAATTATTTACTTGTTTGCGTTACCTGGAGAAGTGTCTCATTATCTTTGTTTTTTTCTGCCCTAATACAACCTGGGTACATAAAAACGTGCCAATTAATTTTGTTGTTTATGAAATATTGTCTGGGTTCTGTGGCTCATGCCTGTTATCCTAGTACTTTGGGAGGCCGACATGGGAAGATTGTTTGAGGCCAGGAGCTCAAGATCAGCCTGGGCAACATGGTGAGACCCCTGTCTCTACTAAAAATTTAAAAATGAGCCGAGCATGGTGGCACATGCCTGTAGTCTTACCTACTTGAGAGGCTGAGGCAGGAGGATCGCTTGAGCCCAGGAGTTTGAGGTTGCAGTGTGGTGTGATGATGCCACTGCACTCTACCCAGGGCAATAGAGCAAGACCCTGTCTCCAAAAAAAAAAAATTGAAGGCTTTTCAATAACTTTAATCATGTGTAATTGACATATAATAAGCTGTACATTTTTAAAGTGTAAAATTTGTCAAGTTTTGACTTGATGTGTATACTTAAAACCATCACCATTAGCAAGATACTGAATGTTTCCATCAATACCAAAAGTCTTCTTGTTCTCCTTTACAGTTCATTTCTCCCTCCACCCCCATTTCCAACCAACCGTTTGTTTGCTTTCTGTCATTGTATGTTAGATTGCATTTTCTAAAATTTTATATGAATAGAATCTTACATACTTTTAAGATCTGGGTTCTTTCACTTAGCATAATAATTTTGAGATTTATCAATGTTGCATGTATCAATAGTTTATTGCTTTTTATTGGTGAATATGTGTGAATGTGCTGCAACTTTCTTATCCATTTATCTCTTGGTAGACAGTTGGGTTGTTTCCAGTTTGGGGCTATTACAAATAAAGCTGCTGTGAACGTTTATGTCCACATCTTTGTGTGGACGGTGTTTTCATTTTCCTTGCAAATACGTAGGAGTGTAATAGCTGGGATATGTGTTAGATGCATATTTAACTTTATAAGAAACTGCCAGAATGTTTTTCAAAGTGTTTGTACCGTTTTACTTTTACATTAGCAGTTTATGAGAATTCCACTTTTTCTGTATATTGACATGTGATATAGTCAGTCTTTAATTTTAGGTAGTCTTCAACTGTATGTTAGCTGCAGGGTTTTTTTGTAGATGCCCTTTATCAGATTGAAGAACTTTCCTAATATTCCTAGTTTGCCGAGAGTTTTTCTTTTTTTTCATTCTTTTTCCTTGTGCTGTAAGCTGAGAGTTTTTATCATGAATAGGTATTATATTTGTCAAATACTTTTCTGCATCTGTTGAAAAATCTTATGCCTTTTCCTCTTTATTATTTGGTAATTACATTGATTTAAAGTGTTAAGTGAGTCTTTCATTCCTGAGATAAATATTACTTGGTCTTGCTTTTTTTCTTTTTTGTTTCATTGAGTTTCTGCCCCAAGGATGGTCCATTTTATATATTGTTGGATTCAGTTTGCTAACCTTTTTCTACTGATGTTTGCATCTGTGTTCATATTGGTCTGAATTTTTTTGTTCCTTTTTGCAATATCTTTGTCAGGTTTTGGTATTAGGGTTCTATCAGCCTCATAATATTAGTTGGAAAGTATTCTTTTATTCTCTATTTTATGAAAAAGAATTATGAAACTTCTTTTTTGAATATTTGTTAGAATTTACTCAGAATTCATCTAGGCCTAGAGTCTTCTTTTTACAAAGGAATTTGATAAATTTTAATTTTGCTAGATACATGGCTCTTCCTTATGTTTTTTTCTTATGTCAATATTGATAAACTGTATTTGTAAAAAAATTTGTCCATTTTATCTAAGGTACGGAATTTGTTGGTATAATGCTTTTTTACAGTATTCTCTCTTGTTATCCTTTTAATGTCTGTAGCAGAAGTCCGCAATCTTTTTGGCACCAGGGACGGGTTTCATGGAAGCCGATTTTTCCACGGGGCCTGGGGATGGTTTCAGGCTGATTGAAGCACATTACATTTATTGTGTAGTCAAACCTCTCTGCTAATGATAATCTGTATTTGCAGCCAGTCCTCAGTGTCTCAGCTCCACCTCAGACCATCAGGCAGTAGATTCTCATAAGGAGCACAAAACCTAGATCCCTCGCATGTGCAGTTTACAGAAAGATGCCTCTCCTATGAGAATCTAATGTCGCTGTTGATCTGACAGGAGGCGGAGCTTATGCGGTGATGTGAGGATGGGGAGTGGCTGTAAATACAGATTTTCACTCCCCTCCCCTCACCTCCCCTTCCCCTTTCTTTCCCTTCCTCCCTCCCTTTCTTTCTTTTCTTTCCTTTCTTTCTTCTCTTAACAGAAATTTGGCAGGGCGCGGTGGCTCACGCCTGTAATCCTAGCACTCTGGGAGGCCCAGATGGGCGGATCCTTTCAGCTCAGTAGTTGGAGACCAGCCTGAGCAAGAGCGAGACCCCGTCTCTACTAAAAATAGAGAGAAATTAGCTGGACAACTAAAAATAGAAAAAATTAGCCGGGCATGGTGGCGCATGCTTGTAGTCCCAGCTACTCAGGAGGCTGAGGCAGGAGGATCCCTTGAGCCCAGGAGTTTGAGGTTGCTGTGAGCTGGGCTGACGCCACAGCACTCTAGCCCGGGCAACAAGGAGACTCTGTCTCAAAAAAACAACAACAGAAATTTATTTTCTCATAGTTCTGGGGGCTGGAAGTCCAAGATCAATGTGTCATTAGGTTTGGTTTCTTTTGAGGCCTTTCTCCTTGGCTCACAAATGGCCGCCGCCTTGATATGTCCTTACATACTCTTTCCTCTGCACATATTATTGGTATCTCCCCTTTTTATTCTTTATAGCTGAATCTTTTTCAGTTCAGTTCATAATAACTTTCTTAACCAATTTCATATTCATGAATATTTGGTGTTTTTGCACTATTGCATAATAAACCACCCTTTAGGGCATATATCTTTGTATACATCTCATTGTCTTTTTATGTTAAATTCCTAAGGTGGGATTTCTGGGGTCAAATCATATTTTTCAGATTTCTGGTACATTCGGAGTTACCTTCCAAGAAAGACTGCCTCAGTTTATACTCACAAAAACTTTGTATAAAGGGTGTATTTCTCTGTACTCTTGCAATCCTAGTTACACTGTTATTTAATCTTTGTCAGTTTTATAGGCAAAATATTGACATTTTTTTCTCTCCACCATCTTGTATTTTTAAACGGGAAATACTGACATATTTTTATTTCTAAGTTTTTGATAATTACTGAGGTTAGATTTTTTTCAGCTACTTCGTATTTCCTTTGTGAATTACTTAAGGGTTTTTTCTATTTCATTTCAGAAGTATTTGGATTTTCTGTATTAATAATTATGAGAGCTCTTAGATAAAAAATACCTCTTTTCATAAGTATTGCAACTGCTTTTCCCATTTTGCCATTTGCCTTTTACTTTTGTTTATAGTGTCTTTTTTTTTTTTTTGAAACCAAGTCTTGCTCTGTTGCCCAGGTTAGAGTGCCATGGCGTCAGCCTAGCTCACGGCAACCTCAAACTCCTGGGCTCAAGCGATCCTTCTGCCTCAGCCTCCCGAGTAGCTGGGACTACAGGAATGCGCCACCATGCCCGGCTAATTCTTATATACATATTTTTAGTTGTCCAGATCATTTCTTGCTATTTTTTAGTAGAGACGGAGTCTCACTCTTGCTCAGGCTGGTCTCGAGCTCCTGACCTTGAGCGATCC